AGAATTCTGGGCACTGCAGTTTGTTAAGGGCTTCTGGGAAGGGTAACTCTGTGGAGGGTAGACTACAGCGACCAGAATTCTAGGGAAAGAATGTGCCACCAAGTGTGCTTTGAAGCATACTGTGTCTACCACAGAGCCCGGAGACGGAGCAGAGGTGTCCGCCCACAGTCTATCGTGGGCTGGGATGGCGCCCCGAGATCCACCAGCCCCTTCTTGCACTTATCGCTGCTTGAATGAAGCCAATGCGTTCCGGGGCTGTGGGGTAGTTGCAGCTGAAAAGCATTAATGGGGCCAATCTACCTTTTAGAAGTGTCTTAGTGGCCACGAGGACATTCGAGTGTGAGGCTCACGGCTGATTTACACCTGAAGGGTGTTGTTGTGTTGTTGTTGTTGATGATGATGATTATGATGATGTTTTACAGCTGCAAGCTTGAGTCCTTTCATTTGGGAGGGTAATAGGCAACTAGTGTTGTTTTTACTGCTGGTTTTCACTGCTGCCTGTAATCATTACGTCATAGTGTCGTTTTAAATTGTTTTAATGTGTCTATTGTGAACCGCCATGGGCTCCTCTTGGGGAGGAAGGGAGAGTTATATGTTCGAAATTATGGATACATTTTGGTTGATTAATCCGTGGAGGGCAATTTTAATGAGTGAGGCTAAACACTGTCCCGACCCCTTTTACTCCTAGGAGTACATTTTCTTCATTCTCTCGAAAAGGTGTTACTTTCATACCTTTGGGGGAGAATGAAGAAAACATAAATTTAGGTTTTCCTAATAGGCAGGTGCATTTCAATTGAACCTATTAATCGGTTTTAAAAATCAGCTTGGGTCTTCGGAGAATTCTTTAATCAAATGGCAAGAAGTCAGGCTTGGGATCTCTCACCCGCGTCCCAAACGCATCAACATTGCCATCGATTTGACTGCTACCCAGTTCCCGAGGATGGGCCACTCAGTCAAAGAGTATGCAAATAGACGGAGTCAGAAATTCAGAGAGAAGCAGAACGCCAGATGTGTTTCAAACCGGCGGCACAATACGTTGTTTATACCGCAGGAATCAAGATGAAGGCTCGCTATAGGAAAACGTCTGAGGTGGCAGTCTTAAGCCCGTTTACCCTGGGAGTAAGCCCCGTTGAATTCAGTAGGACTTACCTCCGAGTAGACGTGGTTAGGCCTGCGCTGCCAGTTGCTAATTCAGAACAGAGAAAATAAATGATCTTTTATGGGGACAGTGTGGAAAATAGATTAGAAATTTAGTACAGTCCCGAAAACAATTCCGGACAAAGGTAAGTTATTGGTGGGGTTCTATCAACATAACATAAAACGAACGGGACAGAGCCGTAAGGATGAAAAGGAAGATTGGATTTCCAATTAAGAGAAGGGCAGCTCACCTCTACGTTTCATTCCAATGTTGATCCTACATCCGGATCCTAAACACGTAGCTCCAGTCCACTTAAGTTAGTCGTGACCGTCCCATAGAAAACAATGCGGCAAAGTCGGCTGCCAGGAACTTGCTGTTCTCCATTGCTTCCGATAGGACTCGGGTCACAAATAATGGCTAGATCGGGGCCTTTTGTTTTATTTCAGTGGAACGCACTGCCAGGTTAAAATAAGAAAATACCTTCATACTTTTTCAAGAACTTTTTAAAAAAAGAAAAGAAAAGAAAGAAAGAAAGAAAGAAAGAAAGAAAGAAAGAAAGAAAGAAGCTGAAAACCCAGTTCTCCTAACTCTCATACACTGGTGGCCCAGATCCCTCAAAACTAGTCATGACACTATTTTTTTTATTGATTCAATTACTTTTTCAGACTTATTATCCGCCCACCCATCTAGGCGGCTAGGCTAGTCACTCTAAAATGAGAGGCGTTTACTGATGCGCAGATATGCGCATTTATGAGGTACTTCTGATGGTGGTGCCGAGGATCAGGTTCCCACCAACTTTAGTGTAACCGTGGGGCAGTGTGGGGGACAAAACCCCGAGGAAGAATATTCCCCTCTCCGTGCCGGCGCTATTAAATTGTTATTGCGATGCAATCTAAGGAGAGTCGCTTCATCGCGACCAGCTTAAGCCTATGGGTTTCTATGGGTCTCCTCTCCGCTCTAAATCGGCTGCGCCCTTTTTCTTTCAGAGTGGAGGGACGACAAAGGACTGGGCAGCTCATTCACTGCTTTCGCTTTTTACCCCTTCCCTTGCTCACAAGAGAAGAAGAGTTTGGATTTGATATCCCGCCTTTCACTTCCTTTAAGGAGTCTCAAAGCGGCTCACATTCTCCTTTCCCTTCCTCCCCCACAACAAACACTCTGTGAGGTGAGTGGGGCTGAGAGACTTCAGAGAAGTGTGACTGGCCCAAGGTCACCCAGCAGCTGCAGGTGGAGGAGCGGAGACGCGAACCCGGTTCCCCAGATTGCAAGACTACCGCTCTTAACCACTACACCACACTGGCTCTCAAACCAAACTTCCCTTCGTGCTTGCCAGCCAATCGGAGCGCGGCGTCCTTTGGGGGCTTTCCATTCAGAAAGTTCCCTTCAGAACCATTCCTGCTGCAAGGCGGGAAACAGGGGTGAGAAAGGACGCCTGAGTCTCTCGCTTTTGCGGGCGACGCCATCGGCTGTTTTCCTTGCTGCGGACACACGATGCCTTTAAAGCGCATTCGGAGCCCATCAGAGAATTCTGCGCGCTGTAGCCTGTTAAGGGTTGCTGCGAATTGGAATTCTGTGCAGGCTAAACTACAGTGCCCAGTGTGCTTGGAATGTGTTCTGAAGGTCGTGTGTACCCAGCCCTTACAGCTCAGCCTAAAACGGCAAGCGCATCCCTTGCACCTAAACTGGGGCGCCTGAACCCCTTGGCAGCAAGTCTCGCGCCGATAGTAGAGGCCGGCAGGCAGTGGCGTAGCGTGGGTTGTCAGCACCTGGGGCAAGGCAAGTAATTTGCGCCCCCTAACCCGTGGATTTGCGCCCCCTAACCCGTGGATTTGCCTAACCCCCCGATGTTGCGCCCGGTGCGGCCGGCCCCCCCTGCACCCTCCACACTACGCCACTGCCGGCAGGGCAGGGTTAGGATCCATCTCAGCCTTTCCAGGCCGCTGCCTAGGAAACCAACCATATTTGGAAGGACGCTCTGCGGAGACTAGCAAAGAGGAAACGCATTTACAGTGTAACAGAAATCAGAAAGATTCAGGAACCTGCGTTAGCCTTTCCTAGGCGGGTTTTTGTGTTTGTGGGCCAAACTGCCTCGGACGGTGGAGAACTCTGCTTCGGGGGTTGGGTGGTCAACATCTTTCAGAGCGGATTTCCTGCATCGGGTTAGACTAGACGCCTTTCCCTCTCTCTGATTCTAAGCATTGACATGGAAATCGATCGCATTTCCTGGCAAATGTGTTTAGAATCGGGATGCACATGGATCTAAGTCCAAATATTTGAGCTTCACCTGGTTACCTTCGCCTAGTAATCGCTCCCTTCCACTGTCTACTATACAGGATTCTTCCCAATATGTGCCTTCTTTATTGCAGCTGTAAAATGCAAACGTGGCCCTTTCCAGAGGCTTCAAAGTAGGTCACGTCGTGACACCAGCCGCGGGGATGTTTGGCGGGGACAAAACAACAACAAAAAACCGTTGCTCGGATTCAGTCTCATAAAACTGGAGAGAATCCCCCCCGACCCCCCTCTCTCTGCGTGATATTTTGAATATTGAGCAATAAAGTCATCCTACAGAATAATGGAGAATATTAAAGGGGGGGAGGGAGAGAGTTTCTTCGTGGGCTGGAAAATGGTAAAGCTTTCAATCAATTCTCTAACCTTCCCTTAACTTGACTGGCTCTAAAACTGAACGGGACCGAATGAGGGGTGAGCAGGCTTCGCTGAATCTAGACCGACCGTGTGAACCTTTTCCAGAACGTGGACGAGGCTGCAGTATATTCAAGCTACTTTAATGGCAAAAGGGGTGAGCAACTGCTCAGGCGATTGTGCCATCAGGCCAACAAACTGAACTGAGTAGCGTACTTTGAAACAATATAAGACTATTGGACCTCTATTTCAGAATGTTTAGGGCCCGGAGTGGAGTTCCGAGAATATTTCTGTTTGGATTGACCAATCCTTTCACACTGGACTGGGAGTGGGGGGTGCTGTTTGTATGGTTATAGGTATCTCTGTGTGTTTGTGTTTACAGTTTGTTCTTTTAGGCCTGATGAAGAATGGAGCGCTTAGGAAACTAATGCTGCAATGCAGAAACTCTGACTTGGGGTAAATTCCATTGAACTCAATGGGACTTGCTTCGGAGTAGGCTTTCTTCTGTGTGGGGAGGGAGAGGGGGAGAGGGGGCGTGGCCGTGTGGCAAACCGCAAAATGGTGCGCTTCTCCCCTACCAGGGAAGAAGGAGTGAAGATCCACTTCTGGAACCAGGGTGGGAGGAGACTGGCCAAGAGGCGCTGTAGAGGCAGCAGGGGGGTGAGGGGCTGCGAAGGAATCCGGCCTCCAAGAAGCCCCCCTCAGCTGTTGCTGCCCTAAGGGCAGTGGTAGGAGGCCATGCATTCATTGGAGGCTCAAACTGCTGCCGCCTAAGGCGCTTGCCTCACCTTGCCTCGGGGTGGGCCGGCTGTGTGTGTTGGAAGGCTTGCCTTCCTAATCTGCGGTGCTTTCGTTGGCTGGTGAGGATGAAGAGGCCGACCATGTGTCCATTAGACTGGAAGCAGCTCTTTGGGCGGGAGCGAGCCGGCCTGCTCCTTTGCCAAAGGAGTTCGCGGGCGCCGCCGGCTTCTGCCCAGCGCGCGTCCAAAGCGCAGCTGGCGTCCGCCGCGCCCCGAGCCTGGAGCGAGCGAGGACCGGAGTTCCCCGGGATCCCTGGAAGGCAACGCGCTCGCGAAGAGCCGCCTTCCAGGCAAGTCTGCGCTGCGGAGGCGACAGCAAAGCCGAGGTGTGGGGCGAGGCGGGAGGGGGGCAGCCGGGGGGCAGCGGCCTAGGGTCGCAGGCGACTTGGGAGAGGAATCAGACACAGTCAACGGGGCAGCACTTCTGAGAAGCAACGTTTATTTCTTTCCACTGTAGAACCGGGTCCTGAATTTCCCAAAGTCCAGACTGGGAAAGAAAAGATTTTGTCTTGGCTGCGGAAGTAAATCCATCTTCAGAAATGAAGCAGCACCAACATAGTTTTTAAAAAAGGGGAAAAAATATCTGAAGAGGAAAATACAACAAAACACAACAATCTTTTTTTTTTTAAATTCGTATTATTATTATTTATGTAAATCAGGTCATCACTGGACAAGAAACCAATTTCTACCCATTACCATAACAGCTTGTCTATAAAGAACAGAAAAAAGATCAGATTGGGTACTATCTAGAGTCAAGCGTTTGTAATTTTTTTTGTCTTTTTGATCGTTTTTCTTCTTCTTGGTTTAAATTCCCCACCCATTCACAGAGGTATAGTCACAGATAAATAACCCCAAAACTACTTGCTCGCCATATTTACACAATCCCGTTAAATTAAGCATAAATAAATATATACAAACTCATCATTGAATGCCTCTCCGCGTTTGCCCCCCCTTCTTTTCTGAGAGTCACTAAAACCGATGACATTTTTTCATTTTTATGGAAAGACTATTCAAGAAGAGTAGATGTTGGTTTTGCTTTGATTTAAATAAAGGACTCGATTTTGGCATAGAAAGGAGAGACTGTAGATTTCACACTCCTATATTCGGTATATCTATTTGTCTTATAATTTCAGCTTCAAACCTTGCTTCCTAAAACTCATTGCTGGAATGTGTAACCCACTGAATGCAACGTGATTTACTGTCACATAAATGAGCTTAATAGAGTGGCGATAGACACGCTGGCACACAAAGGGTTACACTATGAAGGTTGACTTTAGCCATCTGCAGTTCTCTAAGTCACATGATTGTTTTAAACTTTTTTAAAAAAAACAACAACACATGAGCATGATATAATATTGGAATAAACGTCAACCAGGAGAAATAATATTTTATAAACATGGCCAAGAACATTCATCAGTGCAATTAAAACATTAATTCATTAATTGCATATATTGAAATGTTAAGAGTAGAAGATTGATTTTAATCAGAGCTGTCCTTCAGAAAATGGTATTCAGTGCTGATGGCCTCAAAATAAAAATAAAAAATCCCAAAACAAACTATGTACATGCATTGATTCAACAAGATGGGTTTTAAGAACACCCCTCCCTCCAAAAAAGAGGAATAGAAATTATTTTCATCATGACTCAGAAGAGAAAAATTGCGTTTGATTAGACACATAGGGAGGCCTACATTGTTCTCAGAGGGAGGCTGGTGGTGGACGTTGGCCAAACAGTCAAGAAAACACCTTAGGCAATCAACTAAAAGTGTGTTTATTCAGATGTTTAGCTGCAATCCTGCACACTCCTAAGAGAGCAAGTCACTTAGCAACCAGACACAGGATTGGTAATGCTCAGCCCTGAACTGGTGCTCTGTGAACTAACAATCTAACTGTATACATGCCTAGCCAGAAGTAAATCCTGCTCAGTTAAATGCAAGTAGATCACTCCCAGGGAAAGCAGGCATAAGGCTGCAGCCTAACTGATAATCTAGCAAAAAGGAAAGTTGAATGGACACTGGCGCTTGGCTGTTCTTGTATCTGTTCCTAAAGGGGCAAATGGCATTGCCAAGGGCATATGCACTTCTCCTTCAAGGGTTCTTTGTTTCTCCAACTATTTGCAAGGCCTCTCCTCCTAGAGCACCCTTCCCCAACCTGGTGCTCTCCAGATAATTCAGGCTACGGCTTCCATCTGCCCCAGGCTGTGGTGGCCCAGATCTGTAGTTCAAAACATCTGGAGAAATCCAGATTGGCAAAGATGGCACTAGAGAGATGTATTAATGGAAGGTGCCAAGAAGAGGAGGAGAAAAGGGCTGAGCAGGAAAGCAGAAAAGGTGAGAGGTGCAAGTTCAACTTCCTTCATTCTGGCCTTGGGGCAAGCAATTACCTCTCTGACTTCTTTCCCTAGTGAAGAATGGAGACTACCTACCGGGTAATTAACATTGGAGAGACACTTGAGTGGGGCAATTTTGAGTGGCAAATTGTCATGAGATCAAAGGGTTCTATTCACCCCCTCCCCATAAGATTACTGATTTCCCTTTTCTTTCTCTCTTTTTAAAGTTTGGGGTGGAGGGTAAGAAATCACACTGCCTGCATATAATAGGTAGTTTGATTACTAAGATCAGGATCACTGCACTATTGTCCATGAGCGCATCATGATCCTAAATGCATAGCCTTGAAATGAATTTTTATTTAAACCAGATCCCTCCCAAGTGAAAGGATGCAAAAGTAACAGTACAACCTCACTTCTCATTGTTTAAAAAGGCACAATTTATCCATTTGCTTCCAATATGACAGCAGGGCAATCTTGATCACTAGGGTCCTTCCCATAGTATGGAGTCTTTGTACATTTGACAGTTGTATAACTGGCAAAAACCTAACCAACAAAGCTTTTTCCAGCAGTGATAGCAAAAGTGTCCTCTACTGAGTTGCAAAAAGAATGAAGGATCTTGTGGCATCCTAAAGGCCAGCTTTGTTTTAACGGCATGAGCTTTCATGGGCTAAATTTCACTTTGTCAAATGCATGGAGCATAAGCCTAAAATGACAGAGGTGTGTGTGTGTGTGTGTGTGTGTGTGTGTGTGTGTGTGTTCCTTTCGGAGGAGACGGAATGAATAAGGAAGTCAGAGGATAATGAAATGAAGAAGGGACAGTGGAAATTGTTTACCAGGAGTTGTGGGGGAGGGAGTGTAAAAAGGACATTGGAAATGCATGGTAATTTCAGCTGCAATCCTATAAATATGTAACTGGGATCAAGCCCCATTGAGCTCAGTGCAACTTACTTCTTAGTAGACATGTGTAAGATTGCACTACTAATAGTTATGCAGCACTTTCAAGTTTTGGAAACTAGGAGCCATTTTACCTGTTACTCAACAATAAAAACAATTTTGCCACTGAGATTAACTCTGGCTCTCCAGTGAGGGGCAAAACCTGTTTCTTAGGTGTACACCTCATGAGAAACGTAGGTGTCTACAGGCCCTGAATAAATATGAAAATTTATAAGAAGCTTACCTGGTCAGCTCTCCCCACCCCTTCCTTTAATAGCCCCATTAATGATAGAGGCAGGTAGAAATTGAACAGGTAAAGTATCCCCAGCAGGCAGCTGCAGCAAAGGGAAAACTTCCCATTCTGGATTTCCATTAATCAACAGGCACAGGAGCTCTGCCATTAAAAAGGTTGTATACAAATTCAGCAAGGTTATCAGTGGCTATCTGCTACTACCAGCCATCACCACTGTGTGTGTGTGTGTGTGTGTGTGTGTGTGTGTGTGTGTGTGTGTGTAAATCATAGCTTTTAATTCCATTACTTTTAAGTAGAAATGATTATCTGGGACTAGGGTTGCCAGCTTTTGTACCAGCCCTGGTACTTGTGCCTTTAGTAGCAACTTAATATGTGAGAATTAATAAGTGATATGTTTCATCTTCTCACACTTCTACTCATTCCCGCATACCAGGTAGCTGTTGCGGGTTCACAAGCAGGCCAGAGTAGTTTTTGGGGGGGTTTTGCTCAGTTGGCATCCCTGTCTAGAACTTAATGTTTTGGTGGACGTTGCTGGCAATCAGTTAGGTTCTCCACTCTAAAATGAAAATGCTCAAGTTTTTCCAGCTGCCTGGATGATAGTGGCAGAGGCAACTTCTTATGCTCCTCCTCCACCACCACTAGATGCCATAAATGCAATTTATGGAGGTACCCAAATGAATGGTATAGCAACATCCCTTGAAATGTAGGAAGCAAGACCCAAGAATTGGTGATGCTATGTAAATCCTTTTAGGTGGTCAGCAGAACTGTAAAGGCTGTGCTTAGGTGCCATGTTGTTTGCAGAGACTGGAGATGCTTAAATTCACTTCATGGGTTGTTGGTTTTTTTGCTTGTCTTTTTAATAAAAAAGTACCAAGAGTTATCATTTATCCATGAATAAATCTCATTTAGACCAATGGAATTTATTCATGAATGACTTTAAGATGGCAGCCATTTATCCCCAGGTATGTAGATGGTCATTATTTTAAAATGCTGCTGTTGCAGCAAGCCAGGCCAGGGTATATATAATGTGCCCCTTTAAATTTCCAGTACTATATAGACTCTCCACATACTCAAGGTATCTATGAAACTGGATAAATATGGTTTCTTTGAGGAAAAACAACATACATAACTTTTAGAGAAAGAGGAGTCAGATTATCAGCTTTTAGCAGCAGAGACAACTGAGTGCACACTGGAAATAAGGATTAAAACTATTATAAAGTGTAGGGAAGAGATGTAGCTCACTGGTAGTGCATGCTGGGTGCACACAAAAGGTCCCAGGTTCCATCCCAGTCATCTTCAGGAAGGCTGGGAAAGAATCCTGTCTGAAACCCTGGAGATTGCCAGTCCGTACAGTTCAGTATTGCCTCACCTAGTGTCCTTCAAATGTTGTGGGACTCCACTCTCCATCAGCCCCAGCCAGTATGGCTGACGGTGAGGAATGATGTGAATTATAGTTCAACAACAGCTGGAGGGCACTAGTTTTGGGAAAGCTGCTATAGACAGTAGTGAGTTAAATGGAGTAATGCTCAGAATTGGTATACGTCCCTATGGGCAGGCATCACCAAGATTTTTGGGTCCACAGGCATATTGGGGATTTTGAGAGAGTTCTGTGGGCAACATCCTCTGTGGCTGCTTCTCTCCTTCCCTCCCTGGTTCAGTCTTTCCAGGTCAGAGTTAAAGTTGGTTCCAGCAGAATTTTTAAAGGGCCTCTTGAATTTCCATGAATTTACCCTGCGTACCCCCTCCCAACAAAAGCACAGTCAAGAAGTGAAAGCTTACAGTGGCAGACTACACAGTAAAAAAAAATTACAGATCCGGTACTTTCCAGCACTACAAAAACATCGAAGGCACAGATCTTCACGGTTTTTACACAGGATGCCAACAAACACACCCAAATCACAGAACACAGCTGTGGACACATTCTGAAAGGTGTAAAAATATGAGTATCCAGTATGCCTAGGGTCCATGCTTTCATGCTGTGGCATTTTCTCCCCCAGCTCCTGTGGTGCACCACTTTATCCCCTCTGGCTATTCTCCTTTCCTGCCCCCGTCTCCTAGATGGCTCTCCTGTCCCTCCTGCCTTCTTGGTTGCTCGACTTTTTGTTCACATGTTCACCTGAGCCTTAAGAAGCACATGGAGCTGAAACAGAAATAGGAAAGAGCTAAGGCTCTTCCAACATCCTCCTTCCTCTATAGGCTTTTCAAGTGGCGGGGGGAGGTAATAAGCTATGCCACCTGATGACAAAGAGGACAGTCAGTGGGGGAGGGGTCTCAGAGACTTTGTGAGTGCCACTGGCTATTATTAAGGGCACTTCTGTGCCATGTTGGCAACCCCAGCCCTATGGTTTTCGGTCAGCATGTGCACACTGCTCCATGATTTTAGGATTCTAAGCTCCATTCTAGTGTCAATGCCAAGGAAGAATTTGTAAACACAGATGCTTTAACTGGGGAAAATGAAAAATGAAGAGGAGGCAGGAGAACCCTGAGATTTGCTTCCGTCTTGTGATGTGTTGTAACCACTGAGCAGCCAACATGGTGCCTCCCAGCTGTGGCTAGACTACAAAACCAACCAGCCCTACTCCACATGGCCAATGATCAGGACTGATGGGAGTTGCAGTCCAACAGCATCTGGAGGGGGCACCACAGGGGCCGCCTCAGTACCTACATCCTAAGGACAGTTTGAGTACAATTGGCTGCTGATTAACAAAAAGAAAGAAATATATTTGGTCGATACGGTTTTGAAGAGAGCTAAGACTTCTGTATAATATCTCTCTTAGGGTTCCTTGCATTGTTGTCCACAAAGTTTGCAAGTTTAAGTTTGGAGGGTGAACATGTCTGCGGTATAAACTAGAAAGATTTTGCTCCCTATTTACAATTAGGACAAAACATCTTCTCATTTAACTTTGTAGATTTTCTGCTTTTTGTGCCACAATGTTTCCCTCAGTTCAGTGTTAATAATTATCCTAGATTTTATTTTATTTTATTTTATTTTTAGTCACTGAAATATTTCTTCAGGTGGCCTTTTTAAAGATATTAAGTTTGGGTTCTTTCTTGTGCACAGCATGTTCAGATCAGTGGACTGAAACATAGTAAATTATTCTTGTGATGCATAAAGGTGATTTTGTTACATTTATAAATTGTCCAAGATAGTGTACGGAGTCAGAGCTAACAAATATGAGAACAGGAAAGCATTAATTACTATCGCAGCTGTCTTCAGCTCCTCAAAAGTGCCCTTTAGGGTAACAACTGCAAATAAAGGTGTGTTTACTTTCTTCCTCCTTCTTTTGAGATGGTATAGTGTACAAAAGACACAGACAGAATGTAGATTTCAGAAATATAGGAAGCAAAAAAGTATGGGGTGAGGTTTAGTCAACGTTAAGCACATTACAGTCCCATTGATTTCAATAGGAACAAGTTAAACATATGCTTGATTCTCCCCAAAACTAAATGGGACCAACTTTGGTTGGATGTGCCTGAAGTTACTGAACTAAAGCAGCCCCACTAATAGTAGTTCCAACTATGGGGCCTGAATTTAATCAATTAATATTTTAAACGTTTCCTGATTCTTTGGAAAGTATTAAAACAATACACCATATTAAACATCATCTTAATTCTTGCTTTTCTCTCAAATAGGAGAAAATGCATCAGATAAGATGGTGTCCACTATCTAAAAGCAAACCTATGCTTCTTGCTTCATGGCAATTGTTTTGGCCAACATTTAATCAATGAATCAACTAAAACTCATATGATTAATCAACTCATTTCATGAATTGTTTGACAGTCTGAGTTCCAATACTGCTGTAGAGTACTATGCTCAGTCTCTCCTGCATAATTTGTTCTAGTGACATTCTAAAATTAGCAACTTGAGGACCAGCACCATAACTTGGCAATGTTGCAAATCCCCATGCATACAGGTGTGCATTTAGGATCAGTGTGTAAAGCTCCACTCACAGCTGAACTGAAATACTTCGATTTAGACCAAGGCCCATTGGAAGTTCTACTCATTTTGATTAAACCTGCTTCCTAGATAATTGATCACATCCAATAGACAGCTACTCCAAGTTAATCGCCTTCTGAATATGTCTGATTACAAATAACAACACACAGTTTACTTCACGGTGCAGGCAGAAATATCCAATGGGAAAGTATTGGCTTAATTTCAAGTACTTTATGGTTTATAAAGGTTGGAAATAAGATCTTAGGGACCAGTTCTAAAACACAGTGTACATAATTCAGCAGTTGCATTGTGCATGATACTGTTTGGAACACAGGAGGTGATGAATTCAGAATGTATGTCTTCATGTTTCAAGCAACTACACATGCATATTTCACTGTGTGTATATGCCGTACAGAACCCCAGTTGGCTGCATGGTTCTGCTATATGCTGAATATGTGTTGAATATTTATACACATGGTGAAACAGACATGTGCAGCCATTTCAATTAGGGCACTGGTCACTTCTTGTACTCTTAAAGTTTACATTGTGAGAAATAACCCTTCATATTTTTAAAATTAGAAACTGCATGGACCCAAATTGCTTTTGAAAACTGAATTCCAAATGTAAAACACTACCCTGTGAAACAGATGCACCCCATTCATAAGTGTTCACTTAAGGAGAACAAAGTTCTACCAAAAATAATGGAAGTTACAGCCATGGTAATGTGTTTATCCTATTCCCGTCTCCTAGCATGAATTCAGTATGTTAAGTCAAAATGATGTATAGACATAAGCTGTTGTGACAAAAGGGAAGTGATTTTTCAAAATGCATGGAACACCATAGCCATTATCAAGTCAACAAGGTATTTCCAAGCTGATAACATGCAAGGTAAAATTCATCTTCTTTCACTGAAGTATAACTTTAGTAGGTATTCCGAACAGGGGGGGGGGGAGCTTTTAAAAATCTCATTTATAAAATATACTGTAATGCACTTAAATTTCTGCAAATGCTTGGAATTTGGTTGATTTCCCTCATCCCAAGACATGTGTGTTTTTTTCTAAACCAAGAACGGCAAAACTCATTTAATAACCTGGGGGAAAGAGATTTCCTTAAACAAAGCTACTGGAAATTGCTCAAGAATCCTCTTTACCTTCAGTCCCCTCCTTCTCCTCTAAAGACACTTAGCAAACCTGTGTTATTCTGTGCATCAAATATTATTGGCCCTCCCCAAATCTTTTCTATATATTGGATAAATTAGCATTTGCCTATCAATATGACATTGCCCATTCAGTTGCCTTTGCCTTGCTTAATCTATTCCCTTTGAGCTTCTTTAAAGAAGTACACGTGCAGAATTCCAAAACAACTGGCTTTGATTTGAAAAGAAAAGTGTCAGAATTGTGGATTTTCATCTCTGTACCTGATGAAATGTGTAGGGAGTTCTAGTCCTCTTTGAAGAAGCTCATAAGCCAAGCGGGCAAAGCTTTGGGAAACAGAAGAAAATAAAAAGGGTACATACTCCTGAGAAGGAAATCACATACTCATCAAGACATTCCTGTTACTAATACTTCTTTAAAAAGAGAGAGAGAGAGAGCAGTCTGAGACATATTAAAAAGAGCAAACTGAATTGTTGAGAATTAGCCAATATCCATTCAGAGTAACAATTAGCAGACTGGCACCTCTGTCTTAAGCATATTGTTCCCAGTCTTAGAACAGCCAGTTCTCTGCACTTGAATGCACACAAGAAGCTCCCGTTCACTTCAGTGGCACACCTCCATGTACAACTCTCGTGGGGCCCACTGAGCTATCTGCTCAAATGAGATAGGTGGTTTCATTGCAATGCAAAGGAAACTCTTGCAAACAGGAGAGATTTGTGTGTACATCTGAAGTCCTGCATCTACAAGGGATTGTCAGACTGCAGCAACTGGACTTGGAAATAGGTCAAACATAGGATCAGTTCTGATGTAGCATTTGACCTTCATGGAGAAGAAATACATAAAAAAAGTTATATATGAATGCAAAATGTGCATATTGGTTTTAAAAAGAATCACCCAGAAGCAGGAGAATGTAGTTTGCTTCCCCTCTTGTGTTCAGAGCTTTTGCATTCCTGTATAACGTTTTTTCACATGTACATCTCCATTTTTTAAAAAAAATGTTATGCTGGAGGTTACCACCTAATTCCAAGTTAGTTCACCGCCTTGTTATCAAAATCTCATTGGATCCTGTATGCAAACTTTACACATCCTAACAGCCAGTGAAACTTGCAAAGTTGCAGCTTCAGAATTTTAGGAATAAATATGTAAAGTATCTAGTTTTCAGTAAGCCCAGAAATTTAGGTAGTTTGTATTGAAATAGGGACACTCGATAACTGTCTTTTTAGCTAACCTTATTTGAAATACTCTTCCAAGTAAGTATCGTTTTAACTTCATCAGAATGTGAACTTGTTAGATGCAAATGCACTGCTCTAAACAGACCCAGAGCTCTCATTTCCTGCTACCTCAACCCACTGTGAAGAAATCTGCAAGCCGGAGACTATTGGTAGAGCTTAGGCCTGGGTATTCTGATGACACAGAGTGGCAATGGCAAGACATCACCCAAGTCAGGGGGCTACAGTTGGTCTGAGCTGAAAACAGGACACTTTGCTCTGAATGGGACAGTCCCATATAAAATAAATCTATCCCTTAGTTTTTTTGATTTTTCTACTTTAGATAGACTTTTTTTTTGAAAAATAACAATTATACAGAAACAGACTATGTATCTCAGCCAACATATCAACATTATCAAAAAGATTCTTCCAATAAGTTATTGATTGTTTTTACCTACTATTGACATTTTTCACACACACCCTCCCCAATTATCACAAAAAGATTGCAGGAGAACAGAAGTAGAAATTCCTTGAAGTTGTCTTCAAAAGTTCTTTTGCAAAAGCCACTGAGCCTCTGTGTTCCTGTTTCCATTGTGCGTCTCTGACCTTACTTCCTTTAAAATAAAATAATGTGGGTGTGACCTACCTAGTATAATTCTTCCAAAGCCCAATCCAATATTTTAAAGCTAAAATTAAAATGTTTGTTTAAAAAGATTTCTCTCTCTGCTTTTCCTTTTATTTATTTTTCCCCTAATTTCATTAGCTTCCTTGTTTTTTGTTTTTGTTTCATTTTCTGTGCTTCTCTTCCTTGTCTCCAGTTTTACTACCTGGTCCTTCCCCAGAAGTGTGCCTGTTAGCAGAGTTGTTGTTCAAGAACATCTTGTCCATGCCTTTGAGAGCTTCAGTCAGGTAGTTCTGGAGAGCAGTCAGGGCAGCGCATATGGCTGGGGACCCAAAGCCATGAGTGATGAGGCTGAAGTGAGTCAAGCAGCTCTGAATCCCAGGTTCCAAAATGGGGCTGGGCCTGCTATTGCCAATGGGTGTCCTGTCCTGGGCCAAGAGATCCGTAAATTCTTTACAAAGTTGCCTGCAGAGGAGGAAGACAAAGAGCAGATGGCAAGAGCCAAGGTTGGTCAGGAGCAGACCATTTCATTTTCAACACTTTGTAAGACATGTTTAGCACAACCTTACAATTATAAAAATAATTCGCAGCATGTAAGGGATATATTCTTCCACCAAGCAGTTCAGGAGCTGGAGAGTCCTATTTTAATCTCAAACAATCCAGGTTGAGTGACTGACAGGGGCCTTATTAGCTGCTTAAAATATGGCTCTGGGCAGACGTCCATGATGCAAGCAGCACGCGTTAATTTATATATTTATAATTTATATATTTAGACTCCATAGAACAGGCGTGTCCAACTTCCAAGAGACTGTGATCTACTCCCACTATAAATAAACTGGCAGTGATCTACCCATTGGATTGACTGGAGTTGTTGAGCTTTCTTTGGGGGACAATCAGGGTCCTGCGATCAACCAGTATCGACCAGGTACATCACGCTACTGACAGGTAGATCGCAGCCGGCCTGTTGGACACCCCTGCCATAGAATATACAAGAAAAAGCCCTCCTGGACCAGGCAAAAGTCCATCTAGCCCATCATCCTGTTCTTACCATGGTGAGCCAGGTGTCCCTGAGAAGACTAAAAGTAGGACCTCAGCACAACAGTACTCTCTCCACCTGCGTTTTCTGGCTACTGGCATTCAGTGGCATAGACATAACACCTACGTATGTATTTATATGTATACTATAGAGGTACATATAGGCAGACATGCAGAGGGCCACATTTTGGTCCAAAGTCCACCAAAGAACCAAACAGCTTATTAATACAAATAAAGATCAAATAAAAGTACAATAAGAACTTGCTGTCAGGGCTGTGGGGTGAAGACAGGATGTCCTGGGCCTGGTACACCCCACCTGCAGTTTGTTAGCAAAAACTGCTGCTTATATTAAACTGAGGGTCTCTGGGCAAATTAAGATTGTGGGAGACTCAATGGCTCTATGGGCAGATTAAAAGGCAGGAGATCCAGGACTGTCCACCACCCACAGTGAGTCTCATGCATACCAGGGAATTGATTGGGTTTAAAGAAACATGTATAAGCTGCCCTTCCAAGTGATACTCTGCCAAGGTGCCTTACGTCTTAAACATCCAACCATACAATAATATCAACAAATAAACAAGTGAAATTGCTAAGCCCAGGATTCCTTGTGGGATCTGAACCCCTCTCCATGCCCACACACAGTCCACTCTGCCACACCAGTCCTCAGGGGGCTTGTTTGTTCTAAGGGGAAAGAGCTATTGCCTGCTGGCTTTCTGCTTGCAGCAGTTATCCGCTGTCTGACATATCCTGAAGGATTTACACACCTGCATTTTATAGTCATTTCAAAACATTGACTTGTTCTTTTTTCCATTTTTGCATTGTACATGATCATTACAAGTGTCATTGCCAATATTTCACCTGAACTTGCAAATGTGCTGCATTTTCTAGCAGGTGCTGGAGTTACACCATTTAATCCAGAGCTCTGTGTCAACTCCAGTACATTTCACAGAGCTTCTGCTAGAAGAGGAATCCATTGCTAGAAGGGGCCAAAAGCCCCCAGAGCAAAAGACTGTGTGTGTGTGTGTGTGTGTGTGTGTGTGTGTGTGATGAAATGGATTAAATAAAATAAACTTCGTCAAATAGCTTCCTCAAGGCAACACCACTCACACACCAAGTCCTCCCCTCCTCAAACAGCCTGTTCAATCTGATCTCCAGTGTGCCACCAGCAGAACAGCAGTGCACTGCAGGGAAAGGTATCTGAAGATAATATTAGTGAGAAAAATCAAGCCATGCACTGGAACTGATATGTTCCTTACACATAACCCCTCCCCTCCTCAAAATTCTTAAACTTATTGAGAAAGCAAGCAATGTACACACATGCTGAGCAGTGGTTATGGTACTAAACTACAATGGATTTAATGGAAGAAGAAGAAGAAGAAGAAGAAGAAGAAGAAGAAGAAGAGGAGGAGGAGGAGGAGGAGGAGGAAGAAGAGGAAGAATTTTCAGGATGATTGATCATCGAAACAAACCCTCAGAGAGGGAAGCCACTATAGTTTTTATTTTACAGATCAGGAACACAGATTTGTACAAGCTTACCCAAGATGCCCATGGCTGAGCAGTAGTTTGAATACAGCAGCTACTCTTATCTATTACAATGATTAAATTTTGTATACCTCCCTTCCTCCATAGATCTCAGGGTGGTTCACAACATAAAATGCAAGGGATTCTCAAAGTCTGCAACGGTGAACCTCCATAATTCAATAAAAACATTCCTAAACTGCATGAGTGGTATCTCTCATTCAAATTTCAGGGCAGTCAGAGCAAAAGAAGGCTAACCTACCACATGGTAGGAGGTGAGGTGCCCCAAATAAATTCAAAGTCTGCAGGGGGGGGGAGGAGTATAATGGTTGCCACATAGGCATTATAGATCAACTGACTCATAGAATGGAGTAAGCAAGGAGTGTGTCTCCTGGTCAAATCTGTCCCAGTCAAAATATCACACACACACAGCTGAACTGGGAAGGACCATGGAATGAACCCAAGTAGCTAGCCACATATATCTGAAATAAACACCAACCTTAGGGAAGCAGAGCAGTAGCTCACAATGCTTCCTTCACATGACATCACAGACCGGATCCATTCTGCTCAGCTGGAGTTACCATGCCAGCAGAGGAGTCTTAGCAAATCAAATTGTTTTAATTGCTGTTCCCAACCCATTCTTTTCAAAAATGCATTATCAAATTAGCACAAGGGTCATGGACTACACATTAAGTGCAACAAGTTACAGAATCTCACTGTCTTCTGTGCATTTGTTGGTGGTGCGGAAACTAGGGAGCAAACCATTCTACTTAGCCTTCTTTCTGACTAGCTAACCCTTTGTGAGCAGAAATGCCCAAGGTGAAGGAAGCCTAGGCCTGCAGTCAGAAGTGGTAAAACTCATCACCACGTTTGTTGTGTGTGACAACAGGGCTTATCCACACATTGAGCCTGGGATTTGTTGATCTCTCACTAGTGTTAATCTAACACAGGGGTGTCCAAACTTTTTCCAAAGAGGGCCAGATTTTATGAAGTGAATATGCATGAGGGCCGACCAAAGAAGTTGCTGACCTTTTTAGGATGTTACCCCAAAGTTGTTGACTTTTTTTTAAGAACCCCGGGAAGGAACTGCCTGTGGGAGCCAGATTAAACTGACCAGCGGGCCGGATTAGGCCCCCGAAACAGACTTTGGACATGCCTGATCTAATATAATGGGAGGTAAGGTAAAGGTAAAGGTACCCCTGCCCGTACGGGCCAGTCTTGACAGACTCTAGGGTTGTGCGCCCATCTCACTCAAGAGGCCGGGGGCCAGCGCTGTCCAGAGACACTTCCGGGTCACGTGGCCAGCGTGACATCGCTGCTCTGGCGAGCCAGAGCTGCACACGGAAACGCTGTTTACCTTCCCGCTTGTAAGCGGTCCCTATTTATCTACTTGCACCCGGGGGTGCTTTCGAACTGCTAGGTTGGCAGGCGCTGGGACCGAATGACGGGAGCGCACCCCGCCGCGGGGATTCGAACCGCCGACCTTTCGATCAGCAAGCCCTAGGTGCTGAGGCTTTTACCCACAGCGCCACCCGCGTCCCATAATGGGAGGTAGTAATTTATAATTACTTCGATAGCAACCAAGTAGTGCAAGACCTAACATGAAATATCTTCCAGGGGTAGACAGAGTTCAAAGGGGAGGGGAGAATTGTGACAGACATGCCTCCAGGTGTGGAATTCTGGGCATACAGTCAAGGAAGCACATGAGGGTGACAGGTTACAGAAGCTGAACACTAGCAGGTCTAATCCACAGGGATCTATTCTGTCTCACCAGACCTTTATGTGGTTCTGTTTATTGGTTGGCCCTTTATGATTATCTGCTGTGATGCCAGGAGAAAAAAAGAAGGCAAGTAGCAAACAGATATACACTTGGAGTGTGTGTGCACCCTCTCTCACCTTTAGAACTGTAGTTTCAAAGTCTAAGGAGCTTTTGGTACACTCAGGTATATTTAAATGAATGTACCTCTTTTGAACTCTCTTTTGACACCATACCCTGACTCATGCTGCCACACATAGTAGTAGTAGTAGTAGTAATAATAATAATAATAATAATAATAATAATAATAATAATAATAATAATTTATTATTTATACCCCACCCATCTGGCTGGGCTTCCCCAGCCACTCTGGGTGGCTTCCAACAAAATATTAAAATACAGTAATGCATCAAACATTAAAGGCTTCCCTAAACAGGGCTGCTTTCAGATGTCAAAGAGAACAACAACTACCAGACTTTTAGGAGACATCTGGTGGGAGGGTGTTCCACAGGATGGCTGCCACTACCAAGAAGGCCTGGTTCCCTGTAACTTCAGAACTGCAATCATAAGTTGCTATTCATCTCCCATTGAACTCAGAAGCATTGTAATTTGCATAGTTTATAAGCTTAGTTTAAAAAGCAGCAGCAGGAGAAGAGGGGAAAGGCTGGAAAAAGAACGGTGAGTGGGAAAGCATCCTTTTCTCACCCTTGGAAACTCAAAGCTGCTGTACTTGGAACTGGGTGTGGAGAGGACAGCTGGCTGCTGAAAAGGATACGGTTGTGGGCAGCCTGAGGATGCTTCATCCACCTTGGGTCTGCCCATAAAAAACAAGCCTAAAAGACTAGGCAATGGGCCCTGGGTGAGAGCCAGGAATCTGAGAGAGGAGATGACATCGGTTTATAGTATTAGTAATTTTGTATCAAGGTAACATTTTAATATTGTAAAATTTGTTGTTGCTTAAGTTGTATGTTGTTGCTTTGATTTTCTGTACACCACATAGAGATATTCTTATATATTAAGTGGTATAAAATCAATAAACCGTGTCCCCCCTAAAAGAGGGCACGTGTTGCGGTGAGACCTGGAGACCAAACTCCTGTATTGTGGGTGGGTGAGACTGGACAGCCACAACACCCAACTGGTAGGTCCCTCGATGTTG